TCTGCTTCACTTTTCCATAGTCCATGTGGCATACAAGTGTCCCCATATCAAGTGGAGTTGCCCATCTTCACTCATCAAAGCGTGCTTCAGTCAATCTTTGCTCAAGCCGATCCCACCGTGGAAAGATCGTGTGATAGTAAGCATGCTACGTAGCAAGGATAGAGCACTTTGTATACATAATCTCTATAAGGCTTCATCACTCACTCTGTTCCGCTTGTCAGCAAACGAAAGGAATGAGCTGAAACCCGATAGGAACCTCATTGCATGCTGAAAGATGGGTTAAGTAGATGACAAGGCCCTTGTGCAACTACTTCACTGCACAATTGGGTTGAAAAAGAACCCGGTCAATTTAGTTCACATCGTCCAGTCTCACCCAAAAGAATGTGGGGAAGGGATGCTGAGGAGACATCAATCAGTTTATTGTTGAAGGCTTTCATTGCCGGAATCACTGGGTTGTTGTGAGTTTTCTGGGCTGTATGGCTATGTTCCAGAAGCATTCTCTCCTGACGTTTCACCTACATCTATGGCAAGCATCCTCAGAGGTTGTGAGGTCACAACCTCTGAGGATGCCTGCCATAGATGCAGGCAAAATGTCAGGAGAGAATGCTCCTGGAACATGGCCATACAGCCTGAAAAACCTACAACAACCCATCAATCAGTTGTTCTTCTAGTGCTAGAAAGCATCCACATCTATATTTGCTTTTTCTTTGGTTTTCAAAACGTCCAAGAGAAGTTAGTTAAGCTCACCATCTCATTGTTGGATTGACAATCCAGTGAGTCAGTTTGCCAAGAAGAAAAATGTGGATTTCTCAGTGCATTTTCCCAGTGCATGTAGACTTCCCAAGTGCATCCCTGCAACTGCCTAGATTGCTTGAAGCCTCTTAATATCACCAATAGGAGCCCCCAGTGACTCAATGGGTTAAACCCTTGTGCCAGCAGGACTGAAGACCAACAGTTCGCAGGCTCAAATCCGGGGAAAACGCAGATGAGCTCCCTCTGTCAGCTCCAGCTCCCCATGCAGGGACATGAGAGAAGCCTCCCACAAGGATGGTAAAACATCAGAACATCCAAGCATCCCTTGGGCAATGTCCTTGCATACAACTAATTCTCTCAAACCAGAAGCAACTTGCATTTTCTCAAGTTAGTCCTGACACAAAAAAAGTCACCAATTTTGAATTTGAGATGTTGGACCAGGGAGAGAATCAGATGTGTCCCTCTCAGAAATTATGAAGGTAATACAGAAAACAAACCCAAGAATCAAAACTTTATTTGAAAGCTGAAGAGGCAGCCTTGTTTTTATATGTATTGAACAGTGGACTGCCGTTTAAGCCATTAGAGTGTCCAATGTCCACATGGTGCCCAGCTGTGGTGGCATATGCCCAAGAATGCTTTTTGCCAGGTGCAGGGGCTTAAATACTCAAAGAGACTCAACTAAATAGCTGTGGAAGCTTTCGTTTCACTCAGTCGAGACTAAACAGGAGATAAACTTCAAAACAGAGTATGAGTCAATGGAACAGTGAAACTAAAGAAAAAACACCAAATCCTTATTTGGATATGTAGCAGACTACTACTAATAATAATAATACACTAATAATAATAATAATAATAATACCCTCTATTACACTCGATATTATTTAAGGTGCTTGGCTGAGTATTTTGTTCCATTTTGGGAGCAGAACTCATTGGAGTCCATAGAATCATAGAATCAAAGAGTTAGAAGAGACCTCATGGGCCATCCAGTCCAACCCCATTCTGCCAAGAAGCAGGAAATTGCATTCAAAGCACCCTGACAGATGGCCATCCAGCCTCTGTTTAAAAGCTTCCAAAGAAGGAGCCTCCACCACACTCCAGGGCAGAGAGTTCCACTGCTGAACAGCTCTCACAGTCAGGAAGTTCTTCCTCATGTTCAGCTGGAATCTCCTTTCTTGTAGTTTGAAGCCATTGTTCCATATCCTAGTCTCCAGGGAAGCAGAAAACAAGCTTGCTCCCTCCTCCCATGGGGACGTCTAACTCTTGGAGTTTGTCATGCGAAGAAGAAAACCCAAGCAGTGGTGGCAACATGGAGAATAAAATGGCACCATGATGCAATGCCAGACCAAATTGAACATATATATGAGTTGAGTTAAGGCTGCTAAAAGACAAATATACATAGGAATAGCCCGCATGGTGTAGATGTGGTATCCGACTGTACAGAGGGCTTGCTTTCGAGATCATAGTCATAGAATTTTTAGCAAATCATCCTGAATGGTTGTCTTCTTCTTTGTTTTACTTATTCTTATTCATTGAGAATCATTTGCTTTCCAATCTAACCAAGGAGTCCTTTCACTTCATTTTTCCTGGGGAAAGGGCAAGAAAGGAAGGAACGCAAGGTACACTTCTCTCTCCTCCACCACACTACTCTCTCCTCTACTCTTTCCAACCCTAATCTCTCAATCAAATCTCAATTGGAAACACAACTTTGTAGAATAAGCCTTCTGAGTAAGGGTTATGACTAGGACTAATTAACGAGCTTTAATTGCCCAGATCATTAGCAGCAGATTATTTCAGCTACCAGTCTTGGAAAACTGCAAGGTAATCACTTGCTAATCTGAATAAACAGCCTTGCTAGACAAGGGGAAATGCCGCTGTGTATATGGCTCTGTTTGTTTCCACCCTTCCAAATAGAACCTGCCTTATTATTTCTTCCTGTAAGGTTAGACAAGAAATATATGTTTAGGAAGTCAATTGTGACTGCAGCCTTGACACTAAATACCCCTTACCTGATGGTTGCCCACATGAATGGGCCTATTTAAGCTTTTTCTTCTCTCCCATTTCTCCACTGTGGAATGGAAGAGGAGATCAGAAGCAACTATGGTCAACCCTCTACATTCGCAGGTTTTGCAGATTTCTGAATATTTAATTTAAATGTTCTCTCTGGGATTCTCTAGGTCAGTAGTTCTCAACTTCTTGTTGGAGTTCACCCTGTGATTGTGTTTCAGGATTAGGGTGCTTTGTATGTGGGAAGTGATGCCAATTATTTTCAAGATGACAATGGTTTGGTCAATGATACTGATGCAGAGAAGGACCAGGAGACCCCTGTGCAAAGTGTAGTTTCCCATGATAATGTCCCTGAAGGGTAAGGGGATGATAGTGTACTCCCTGAATTGCTACCAGAGAGTTTCCAGGATTTGGGGCTTGAAAACAACTGGGCACCTGGCCCAGCTGCAAAACTTAATGAGCAAATAGATAGGAGGCAGGAGATTAGTCAAAACAGGCAGATGGAACAGTGGCTTCGGTGGTCTGCCAGGATCCAACAGAAAAAAGATAAGGGAATCTCAATTAACGCGAAACCAATTTCTGAGTGCTTGGAATAGTTTAACGAGGGGATAAAAGCTCCAAGTATGGGAAATATAGTTAGATGAAGCATAATTTGGAATCAAGTGTAGTTCTTGTCCTTGTTTCATGGAATCCTTGCTTGGAAGATTCTTGTCTAAGGATTTCTTATTTCATGGTTTGGATTCTTGGATTGTATGAATGCATACTCATGCCTTGGATTAATGTTTCCTAGTTTTCTGAATTATATTAGAGAAGTGTGGACTTTGTTTTTATGGACTTTGCTGAACTTTACCCTGGACTAATTTTGCTCCTCCTTATCTTCTTACCTAACTGGATTCACTTATTTCTTTTAAGTGATTTTTACTTGCTGCTTTTTAATTATTTTCAATAAAAGGATTGTTTTCCAATCAAATTTCCTGTCCTGGAGTGCAACACTTGTGGGTCCCCAGATATTTTGGCCTTCCAGCTTCCAGAAATCCAACAGCTGGTAAACTGGCTGGGATTTCTGGGAGTTGTAGGCCAAAACACCTAGGCACCCATAGGTTGAGAACCACTGCTCTTCAAGTGTAGCTCTGTGATCAACCTCCTCCAGAGGTCGACCATAAAGTCACATTGAAGAACCTGCAGATTCCTAAAGGGAATATCTAAGAATCTGTAGGGTCCCCAGTGCAATTCTGTGGTCAGCTTCCAGCAGAAGTTGGCCATAAATTCACACTGAAGGACCTAGACATTCTTAGAGTGATATTACAATGTTCCCTCACTACTTCGCGGTTCGCTTTTCATGGACTCACTGTTTCGTGGGTTTTTGTCTCCCAGTTTATGAATGGTTGCCGTTGCCCATCCTGGCAACGATGGAGTGTGGAAGGGGGTTTCACCCTCCCCCTTGGGAGGGAGGCAGCCAATCAAGAGAGAGTGCAAAGCAAAGCAGAGATAGCTAGCAAAAAAAGTTGTGCAATGCCTTTAAATTTCTCCTCATTTCTACCTCACCCTCAAAACGCAATATACATATATGGCATCCCTACTTCGTGGATTTTCACTTTTTTGTTAAGTCCAACAAACACATGTTTAGTTTGAATTGCGATTTTTGAAACAAAAGAGAACTCTGGGGGTCATTGGGAGGGGATGCATGTAACATCCTTCCAACATGCAGTGACAAAATGACTGAATGCATCATCCACCATTCTCCAAAAACATGAATACTTTCGTGGAGTGGGAAAATACTTCTTACAAGGTCAGATTTTGGTCATTGCTTGTTAAGAACAGAATTCCAGCCTCTTCAGTGACCAAAAAAGTGAGTTGCAATGGCGTAAATCCAATGTACATCATTGTAATTCCCTAACAGGATGCTAGCCAACTTGTGATTTATTAAGATAAGATCTGGCTGGGTTTCTTGCAGTGGTGGTGGGAGGGGTGCATGGGAAATCATTAATCATTCCAGTTCAACTTGGACTGAGTTGTTGTGAAGAATGACTTTTGGAACAATAAGAGGCATTTGCTTTGTGACTGGGGAAGGAAGGAGATTGTGCCACCAAGTGCAAGGCATCAACTTGGGGTTTGGCAAACACCTGTTTGTCTAGACACAACAGAAGAGTTGTCTCTCTCTTTCTCTGTCCTTAATTTTGACTTTTGTTTCCAATGTCCTTCTTGGTGCAATAGAACTTTCACTTTCCTTTCGCCCCTTCCAGAGGGATGCCCCGGATTGTGTAACGGCAATGGCAGGTGTACGCTGGACATGAACGGGTGGCACTGTGTCTGCCAGCTGGGATGGAGAGGGCCAGGATGCGACACTTCCATGGAGACGGCATGTGGCGACGGAAAGGACAACGATGGAGGTAGGACCCTGTGTTTGCCTGTGTTACCCCCAAGATCATGGACTCCTGAACAATCTCCAAAGTCACATCATTCCACAATCATGTTCTTGTTGGCTGGAGGATTCTGGGGGTCGTCGTCTGAAACAGTTCTCTTTCTAGACACAATAAAATGAGTTGGTTGTAACCTATAAAGTCCTATATGGTTCTGGTACAGACTATCTGACAGGCCACATGAGGTTGTCAAGTCCATGAGATCCTCAGGAAAGGCTTTCTCTTTCATAGATACATCTGGTGTGAACCTCAGGTAAGGCTTTCTTGGTGATTGCTCTAGATCAGTGGTTCCCAACCTGTGGGTCCCCAGATGTTTTGGCCTTCAACTCCCAGAAATCCTAACAGCCGGCAAACTGGCTGGGACTTCTGGGTGTTGTAGGCCAAAACACCTGAGGACCCACAGGTTGAGAATCACTGCTCTAGACTTCCCTATCTCCCTACTTACTGTCCTTATGTCAGCAGGCAACAAGCTTTTGAAATCTGAATTTTGTAAGGAAAGGGATTTCCATAGGGGGGCAGTAGTGTTCTTCATTATCCTGTTCATAAACTCCTTTTATTATTTTTCATTGTGTGCTTTCAATTGTTTGTGTTCTTGATAGCAACAATGCAATAACTTCACCAAGTTCTTCATTAAACCAATGTGATCTTTGGCCAGTAAGATGGAATTCAGGTCTTGATGCGCCCATATCCATTATTTGTTTGTTTGTTTACTACATTTGGACTACAAACAGTTAAAATACATTAAGTTAAAGATTTAACATTAAAATTAAATGCACATTAAAAACATATAAAATATTAAAATCACTGTGCCTGGTGGCGCAGTGGGCTAAACCGCTGAGCTGCTGAGCTTGTTGACCGAAAGGTCACAGGTTCAAATCCGAGAAGCAGCGTGAGCTTCTGCAGTCAGCCCCAGCTTCTGCCAACCTAGCAGTTTAAAAACATGCAAATGTGAGTAGATTAATAGGTACCGCTCTGGTGGGAAGGTAAGAGCGCTCCATGCAGTCATGCCGACCACATGACCTTGGAGGTGTCTACGGACAATGCTGGCTTTTTGGCTTAGAAATGGAGATGAGCACCACACCCCAGAGTCGGACATGACTGGACTTAATGACAAGGGAAAACCTTTACCTTTTACCAATTAAAAATCATGCCATCCACAATCATAATCTGGCGCCGTTCCAAAAGTCATTGCACATAATTCTATAACTATTATTGCACTGTAGTTAACCTCCAAAGGCTTGACCCTGGAGCCAGGTTTTCACTTTCCTTCTGAAGGCCAGGAGAGAGGAAGCTGCTCTAATATCACTAGGGAGGGAGTTCCATAGCCAAGGGGCCACCACTGAGAAGGTCCTGTCTCTCGTCCCCACCAACCACACCTGCAAAGGAGACAGGGCCAAGAGCAGAGCCTCCCTGATGATCTTAATCTCCGAGGTGGTTCATATAGGAGATATGTTTGGACAGGTATGCTGGGCCAGAACCGTTTAGGGCTTTATAGCCAGCACTTTGAATTGTTCTCAGTAGCAGACTGACAGCCAGTGGAGCTGACGTAACATTATTCCACATATCCAGCTGAAAATCCCAGGAGACCTCAGAAGAATTCTGGAGAACCTCAAAGTGGACCAATGTGAGATAGTTTATAGGCTCATATGCTGTTACGACAGACAGCCCCATGGTCAAACTGGATTTTCTCCAGCTGGGAAGAGTTATCAGCACAGACTTGCAAGGCTAAACCAGCTCTGCTCTGGAGACATACCCTTTTCTTTTTTTACATTTAATAGTGCTCTAATGAGTAATGTCGAGCAGGTTCTTATAATTGGCTATTAACAGCTGCTTATCTTGTTACCAAGAACTCTGGTAGTCTGTTAAGGTTTGGATTAGAGGTTAGAAGGCTTCCCATATCAAGCCAGATAGAAAAAGGCATAATTTGATTCCATTACGTCGTGGTGCCTTTCCCCAATACACACATACCCAATACACACTTGAAAACAATGTAATTTCAGTATTATATGTGTCTTGTTCCTCAAGGTAGCTAGAATCAGGTCAAAGATCTGTCTGTTCCAGAAAAAGCAGACTTTTTGTAATATTTATATGTGCACACACACACACACATATATCACACAAAAACTCTGCTCCTTCTGGAATATATATGTTCTTGGATGCTTTGGATACTTTTGCACATCTGGTGCTAAATGGCCCAAATGACTTCCCATGTAAAAAGAGTTAGAAAATAAAAGAGAGGGGCTACCAGAAGCAAAAAAAACCCCTCCCCGCGTGCTATTAAAAATGCAAACTGTAAAACAAAGGGCACTTTCTTCTCTCCCATGAAACTAGATACGGCGGTCTTTGTCTCTGTTTGCAACAGACTCCAGGCGGCAATACCGCTTGCCCGCGCCAGATGTGTCAAATATGAGGATTTAGTCTGTAATCTCTGCTTCTGTGAATGGGAACAGAAATTGCCATATTTAGAATATTCGTGGGTTTCTGCACCACCAGTAGAAAGGAAATTGACATTGTTGAAATAGCATTGTTTCAAGGCTTCAGCAGCACTTGGTCAGTATGAGAGCTTGGAGAAAGTATTAGTTTTAGGCTGGAGGAATCAAGGAGTTGGGACATCCCCCACCTCATATTACTCCTTGTTTACTAATATTCCTAGTATTTTTTTTCTCGTTTTTCAACAATTTCAACAGAAAGGATGAAACAATGAAATGAAAATGAACAAAATCTGGCTGCTAGTATTAAAATACTCTAAAATCAGGACAGTAAATAAAGAGCAGTACTTAGAAAACAGAAGAATTCTAGACAGGAAATAATCAGGGCCAGGTAACAGTCTTTAGGAGGAGCCTGAAAACGTGGTTGTTCCAGTGTGCCTTCCCAGAATAAGGAATCTCCCAGCAATATGTCTTTAAATGCACTTTATTAATGATCTAGGATTGTCTGCACGCCCCATCCCTCTCCGAAAACATCTATCCTAGTCATATTTCACCTGTTCGTGCTCAGCATTATTTTTAAAATTTTAATTATTACATTTGGCCCAGCCATAGGTTTTTTAAATGTCGTTGTGTTACTGTTAATGTTTATTGCTTATTTTTTGTTATGAGTTTTATTTTATTGTTTGTATTATTGTTGTTATTGTTGTATTACTGATGTATTGTGGGCTCAGCCTCATCTAAGCTGCACCGAGTCCCTTGAGGAGATGGTAGCGGGGTATAAATAAGGTTTTATTATTATTTTTTATTATTATCTCCCAAGAAAGGATTCCCCAGGCAAGAAGAAGCCAGGTTTTGAGGCTGCAAGGCTATTCAATGCTAATCAAGCCAACCAATTGCAACATTTATTTATTTGTTTGTTTGTTTGTTTGTTTGTTTATTTATTTACAGTATTTATATTTCGCTCTTCTCACCCCGCAAGGGACTCAGGATGGATTACAATGTACATACACATGGCAAACATTCAATGCTATAGACACACAACAAATAAGACAGACACACAGAGGATATTAACATTCCAGCTTTTTGATGAGGGTATTTTGGCCACCAGGGGAGCTGTTGCTTCACCTTCCATTTGTGACACTGATTAAGTACTTCCTCATTCTTTGCATGCTTGCTGGAGTTTTTTTTAATGGCGTCATAAATTAGTTAAATTTGCCTCCCCGCATACGCGGTACCTAAATTTCCTACTTGACATATGCAACTGTCTTTCGGGCTGTACATACAATGTACATATACATGGCAAACATTCAATGCCATAGACACACAACATATAAAGACAGACACACAGAGGATATTAACATTCCAGCTTTTTGATGAGGGTATTTTGGCCACCAGGGGAGCTGTTGCTTCATCTTCCATTTGTGACACTGATGGAGTACTTCCTCATTCTTTGCATGCTTGCTGGAGTTTTTTATGGCATCATAAATTAGTTAAATTAGCCTCCCTGCATACGCGGTACCTAAATTTCCTACTTGGCATATGCAACTGTCTTTCGGGCTGTAAAGGTCGACAGCAAGCTACACAAATTGATTGGAAGCTCACTCTGACCTGGGCTGGCTTTGAACTCATGACCTTTCGGTCAGAAGTGATTTTAATGCAGCTTACTCCAGCCAGCTGCGCACACTTTCACACTTGCTACAAACAGACAAGAGTTCTTTCTCTCATCTCAGACATTCCACAGATATATAAACCCCACTTGCGTAGTTCCCAACAGACCTCACAACCTCTAATGTTGCCTGCCATATTTGTGGGTGAAAAGTCAGGAGAGAATGCTTCTGGCACATGGCCATACAGCCCAGAAAACTCACAGCAACCCACTCTTACATTGTTCATTTGGTATACTCAAGTTGATCATTCATAATCAACCAAATTGTGATCGTATACTTTTCATGTTTCCAAAGTAACAAAGTGACTTCCAATTGAATGTTAATATTACACACCACTAATATTTATGAAAATGTCATGCCTCCCCCCATAAAAGTAGGAAAATATTTTTTTTCTCCATGGCTTCAGAATTTATGGAAAGGCCCAGATTGATTTTATGGAGCAGATACAGAAATAAATACCTTCCAAATTTCTGGAATATTTATACCTCTATCTCAGTATCAGATTGGCTTTTGGAGCAAGTACATAAATAAATGTAGTAGCTTAGTTTGGATTCTGGAATATTTAGAAAGGTAACTTGGGTCTCAGACGCTGAACTGATTCTTGACTTTGTTTTACAGACATGCCAGTTTCAACATATAAATTGAGTAATCCTGAAATGTAATCACCGTAGGGTTTTTTAAAAAGCATTTTACTGGCCCCAACCCATACGTTTTGAAGGCACCGCTAAATGTGCTTTTCGTTTCTGCCCGGTCCTTGTGAGCTGATTTCTGTTTGTTCGCCTGAGTGTGTGTTTTGAATCTGCCCGGCTGAAGCAGATGCTAAATTTTCCCGAGTTGAAGGGAACGTAATCCTATAACACCCATTAAAAGTCAAAGGGAGCTCAAAAGCTGAATCCCAGATCCACTTTCGGCGAGTTTAAGAGCTTTAAACATGTCAATGGCAAAGACCCTTTGTCATACTTACACCTGATCAGGATAACGAAAGGAGGATGAAACGTCTGCTCCTCGAGGAGAGAAAGAAATATTAAGTGAAAGGTTAGTTCAGCTGAGTCCGTGCCTCATCTCCAATACCCTGCGGTTGGGTTTTCCCATGAAACATACTCCCTGCTGCCTCTTGCAGTTTTATTTCCATCCTTGCAGACTTAATCTAAGTCAGGGAAACAAAGGAAGAGCCCAGGGAGAGACGGCGTATGTTCTTCCCGTCCTTCAGTTTTGGATTGCATACTGGAACGTCAACACAGAAAATAAAGAGAGAAACCTTCAGGCAGGAGGGATCTCTATTTTGTTATCCCACCGCTGCCACCATTAAATATTGAGACATCAACAGCAAATAAAATGGAGCAATGAGGAGAGTGGATAGTGTTGGTGTGTAGCTGTGGCTGAGCACTTTAATATTTATAGATATACTAGCCATCCCCTGCCACGTGTTGCTGTGGCCCAGTCTGATTATCTGGAAAATAAAGTAATGAGAAAATGTTAGTTTCTAATATATGTAATTTCTTTATGCTTGTGGGTAAACAGTATTTCTTGCTGTTTCTTTGTCAGTGTTGATGTGAGATTGTCTGGTTTGCCTACTCAGGAACATGCAACATAGAATTGTCCTTCTTTATTTTATTTATTTATTTATTTATTTACATTATTTCTATCCCACCCATTTCAGCCCAAAGGCGACTCAGGGCGGTATAAACAGTTGGCAAAATTCGATGCCGAAACAAAATACATACATTGATAAAGCAAAAACATCAAGTGCAATTAAACATAAACAACAGTGCATAATAAACAATTTAAAAAGAGACTATGTCCTCTCGTTCAAATCTTCATCCGTTACATTGTCTTGGCCGTTCCTGGGTCAATTTCCAACTCTAGTTTGTGTATTTACTCCGGGGTTCCAAATGCTTGCTCGAAGAGCCAAATTTTTACTCTTTTTCAGAAAGTCAGGAGGAGGGGGCTGATCTAATATCCCTAGGGAGGGAGTTCCACAGCCGGGGAGCCACCACAGAGAAGGCCTTGTCTCTCATCCCCACCAGACATGCCTGCGAAGCAGGCGGGATCGAGAGCAGGGGTCCCTTTCATAGAATCATAGAATCATAGAATCAAAGAGTTGGAAGAGACCTCATGGGCCATCCAGTCCAACCCCCTGCCAAGAAGCAGGAATATTGCATTCAAATCACCCCTGACAGATGGCCATCCAGCCTCTGTTTAAAAGCTTCCAAAGAAGGAGCCTCCACCACACTCCGGGGCAGAGAGTTCCACTGCTGAACGTTCTCACAAGTCAGGAAGTTCTTCCTCGTGTTCAGATGGAATCTCCTCTCTTGAGTTTGAAGCCATTGTTCCATTCGCGTCCTAGTCTCCAGGAAGCAGAAAACAAGCTTGCTCCCTCCTCCCTGTGGCTTCCTCTCACATATTTATACATGGCTATCATATCTCCTCTCAGCCTTCTCTTCTTCAGGCTAAACATGCCCAGCTCTTTAAGCCGCTCCTCATAGGGCTTGTTCTCCAGACCCTTGATCATTTTAGTCGCCCTCCTCTGGACACATTCCACTTGTCAATATCTCTCTTGAATTGTGGTGCCCAGAATTGGACACAATATTCCAGATGTGGTCTAACCAAAGCAGAATAGAGGGGTAGCATTACTTCCCTAGATCTAGACAACTCTATCATACTATATCTGTGTGTGTGGGAATCATATATTTCTATCTATATCTATGGCTGGATGGCTCTTTGTCAGGAGGGCTTTGATTATGTTTTCTTTCTCTCGTGAAGGGAGTTGGATGGCCTTAAGTATTTTCTGATGGTCATGGGGGTTCTGTGTGGAAAGTTTGCCCCAATTCTATCGTTCGTGGGATTCAGCATGCTCTTTCATTGTAGGTGAACTATAAATCCCAGCAACTACAACTCCCAAATATCAAGGTCTATTTCCCCCAAACTCCATCTGTGTTCATATTTGGGCATATGGAAAATTCATGCCAAGTTTGGTCCAGATCCATCATTGTTTGAGTTCACAGTGCTCTCTGGATGTAGGTGAACTACAACTCCCAGGCTCAAGGTCAGTGCCCACCAAACACTTTTAGTGTTTTCTGTTGGTCATGGGAGTCCTATCTACCAAGATTGGTTCAATTCCATCATTGGTGGAGTTTAGAATGCTCTTTGATTATAGGTGAACTATAAATCCCAGCAACTACAACTCCCAAATGACAAAATCAATTTTTTGAGTGAAGGACATACATTGGGTTGTTAGGTGTATGCTGCCCAAATTTGGTGTCAGTTCCCCCAGTGGTTTTTGAGTTCTGTTAATCCCACAAACGAACATTACATTTTTATTTATATAGATATTTGTGTGAGGCTTGAGAGAGTGACTGGTATGAGGCTTATCTGAGAGAGGTTTGGCCTTTTAAATGCTTGTTTGTGTCTCTATTATATGCGTAACCCAATACAATAAACTGAATCCTGTTCCAAACAATCTTCAGCCATCTTCCTTGAAGTAAATCTTCACTTCAGTAACTTAACACAAGTCTTTGGTATAAGGAATTAAACAAAGAAATATTTATTTAAGTGTTCTCAGGCACACAAAGCATATTGGTTACACAGTATTTTCTTCACAGTCCTTCTTAGATATTGTTACAGTTAAATTTTATTATCATGAACACTTGAAACAGTTACTATATAACTTCCAGAATGGCTTATCTTTTTGCCAGCCTGGTTTAGTAACTGCCTTCACTTTAAAATGTTATTCTTTCTCAGTCTCCTGACTGGGTAAATTAATCTATTTGGAAACACCATTTAGCCATTCACAACGGCTGGCGAAGATTTGCGAACTAGCTCAAATGGACAAACTGACTAGGCTGAGCATGGAGAAATCTGGGACGTGTTTATTATGTTTTCACAACAATGATATGAGTAAATGTCAGCTGTAGGATTTATGAAATAGATTAAGGTTATTAAAAGCATATAGTTAAAGGACGTAGAATTATAGGGGGGGGGGGAATAAACGGTGAGTGTCCCATAATGCAAAATGAAATCTTCAGAAAAAATACACAAATGTTTTAGCAGTTTTATCCGAGGGGAGAAAACTACTTAAACCCATTGTTTCTTCACCTGTACCCTTGTAATGTCTGCTCAACCTTTCCTTTGTTTTTGATCGACAGATGGATTAGTGGATTGTATGGACCCAGACTGCTGCCTCCAGCCGCTGTGCCATACCAGCTCGCTCTGCCTGGGTTCACCGGATCCCTTGGACATCATACAGGAGACGCAGGCCCCTGTAACCCAGCAGAACCTTTACTCCTTCTACGATCGGGTCAAGTTTCTAGTTGGGAAGGACAGCACCCACGTCATTCCCGGAGAGAATCCGTTCACCGGAGGGTAAGTCATAGCATCTTATAATATTGGAGTCATAGAGTTGGAAGAGACTACAAGGCCCATCCAGTCCAACCCCAGGAACATGCAAGCAAAGTATTCTGTTCAAAAACCTCCACAGATTGAAACTCTACTCTGCTCCAAGGCAAGATATTGCACTGTCAAATGGCCCTTAACATCAGAATGGTCTCCATAAGGTTTTGGTGGAATCTCTTTTCCCGTTATTTAGATTTGTTCTCCAGAACAGCAGAAACAAGCTTGTCCCTTCCTCAATGTGACATCTTTTTAAGAATTCAAGTCCTTTTTGTTTCATTTCCTCTAACAAGAGCCAAGTTGTCTGTCATGCCACCCTATGTTCTCATGTATAGGTCTAGAAGTTTTAGTACAAAATCAATTCAAAAAACCCTGGGTTGACTTGTCCCTAGGCCATTGTGAACATTGTACCTCAGAGCATGTCCTCTGAGTAAAGTAGCAAGCGGCAAAACTGAGACTGGAGCACACTGCATTATGTGGGTCTACAGAAGGCAAGATGGATGGATGGCATCCTTGAAGTGATTGGATTGACCTTGAAGGAGCTGGGGGTGGTGACGGCCGACAGGGAGCTCTGGCGTGGGCTGGTCCATGAGGTTACAAAGAGTCGTAGACGACTGAACGAATGAACAACAAACAGAAGGCATGGGCAAGTTTGACTCTCCAGATGTTTTGGACTTCAACTCTCACAATTCCTAACAGCCTACCAGCTGTTAGGAATAATGGGAGTTGAAGTCCAAAACACCTGGAGGGCCAAAGTTTGCCCGTGCCTTCTATTGACCCATATAATGCAATTCGGTGCCATTCAGATTTCATTATATGTTTCTACACCAGCCTTTGTCCTGGCAGAATCTAAAAGAATCACCAAACCTCACTGCTGTGACTGCCTTTCTGCCTTTATTGAATTCCTCAATGGGGAATTGGTGACAACAGCCAGGATAGCTGGAACGACTTTTGACTTAACAATAGGTCACATCAAAATACATATTTTTCCTCCATAACCTGCTTTGACTCATACTTGAGGTTGACTTTTACATCATATCTGAAACAGAAGATCATGAAGCTCCATTGTGATAAGAAAGAGGCAGATCAGAAACTTTTTAGTTTGATTTATACATCATATCTGCAACAGAAGATCACGAAGCTCCACTGTGTTTAAAAAAAGAAGCAGATCTGAAACTAGGTTCTTGTGGGTTTTTTCAGGCTATAGAGCCATGTTCTAGAGGCATTTCTCCTGACGTTTCGCCTGCATCTATGGCAAGCATCCTCAGAGGTAGTGAGGTCTGTTGGAATTAGGACAATGGGTTTATATATCTGTGGAATGGCTGGGGTGGGGCAAGGAGCTCTTCCCTGCTGCAGTTAGGTGTGAATGTTTAGCTGATCACCTTCATTAGCATTTGAAGGCCTGCCTGAGCCTGGGAAAATCTCTTGCTGGGAGGTGTTAATCTCTGCCTGGTTGTTTCCTCTCTGTTGTTTTGCTGTTATAATTTTAGAGTTTTTTAATACTGGTAGCCAGATCTGAAACTTTTTAGGTCCACATAATACAAATGATTTTTGGAAACTCTTTTAGTGTTGAACTGGATGCAATTTGAAAAACTAAAAAGTATCAAAATGACGTATTTAGCAAGTTTCCCTCCCTAAAAGCTTGGGATCACTGGCTGGTTTTCAAACAACTGGAAAATGAATGTGCATATGAGAAAATCAGATTATAGACAAAAACTTTGCCACTGTAGTCTGCATAATCACTTTCTGGAAATCTTGACGGTGTTGAAATAATCCTCCCAATAAGAGAAATAGGTTGAGAATAAGGCCTTTAAAGAAGAAGAAGAAGAAGAGCTCCAAGAAGAGCTTTTAAGATGTGGGGGGGGGGGTGTTCAGAAATAGTACCCTCCCCTTGAGACATCTGTTACTTTAACTTAAAGGTGGGCAGTTATGGGTCAAAATATGTTTACTGCAATTGTTTTGCTCTGAAATGCCCTCTAGTGGCTTTCAGAATTCTCACAACCTTGACCACCACCACACACCCAATAAAACATTATGGGGCTGAAAGATGCTTTTTTTAAAGTTGGGAAGTGAAGCAGAAGTAACTTCAGATTAACTATTTTCTTAAAAGAGGCTAAAATTGCCAAAGCAAGGAGACTAAAAAAGATGGGGAAAATGATTCCCATATCCCCTTTGGTATTTAGGGGCATACAGTTGATTTTGTGTGTGTGGTGGGGGTCAATACAGCTCTCCAAAGTCTCCTACAAGACTAATGGGTTTCAACATCCCAATGCTATTTTAGCTGTTAGTATAGGCATCCAATCCCCTTCTCCCATGAAAGAAAACACAATCCAAGCATCCCCAACAAATGACCATCCAACCTCTGTTTAAAAACCTCCAAAGGAGACTCAACCACAATCCAAGGCAACGTATTCCACTGTCCAACAGGTCTTACTTCCAGGAAGGACTTCCTAATGTTTGGGTAGAATTTATTTTCCTGCAATTTTAATCTAGAACTGGTTTAGAGGGACCAATAGCCTAACTCAGTGGTTCCCAACCTCTGATCCGTGGACCACCAGTGGTCTGCAAGATCAAAAATATGGTCCACAGCTTCACCGTTACTACACTATTGCCTTGAAACCATGCAGCAATGAGAGCGACTGATCTTGCGAAACCCTCTTATAGTACCGAGGCAACTGGGATATCGGGAGTGGAGAGGCTGACTACCCACAAAAAATTACTACTACCACATCGGCTCTAGAAACATGGTTTTCTGTGGGCGAGCAGATGGTGACTACTGGATGGCATATGTTCTGTATCAGAAACTAGAGCTGATGTAGTCTATCCAATGTAATTTTCTGAATCAGCATCCCAAATAACCAAACCAAATCTAAAGTTGACCAAAAACTGATTCATAACCAAAGACGTTCATGACCAGAATCACTGAGTTACAGTAGGTTTTCCGGGCTGTATGGGTTCTGAAACATGTATGCTTCTGAAACATGGCCATACAGCCCAAAAAACTCACCCCAACCCAGTGATTCGTAACCCTTTTGGTACCAATGTTGGAGAGTAGTCCCTGGTCTAAAGTGGTCCCTGGTCAAAGTTGTCACTTGTCAAGTGGTCCCTGGTCAAAGTTGTCACTTGTCAAGTGGTCTCTGGTCAAAGTGGTCAAGTAGTCCCTGGTTAAGTGGTTCCTAGTCAAAAAAAGGCTGGGAACCACTGGCCTAACTCAAGATAGTATGGTCCACTTCTCCACAGACTCGATAACCACAGTTTCACTTACCCATACTCCCCTCCAAAAAATACCTCCTGATGTATTTTGGGGTCTCTTTAAATCCTGCATTGTTCACCTATGGTATGCTTCCAAACCAAATATAATCAAAAGACAGGTTTTGCTGTTATTTGCAATAACCAGGAGGGTTCTTGCAACATATTCCCTATAGATATGGGGGCTCTACTATATAAGGCAGCTTCCTATGACCCTGTATTCCAGGACTGAATGAGTGTTTCTAAAAACACTGTCACCCTCTAGGTGGGAGGTTGGCTGTCATGATACCAGCCATCAAGTACCAATCTCTGAAGCTTGATGGAATAAACAAAACCTGACTTCCTTCGCTGCCTTTGGGCTTTGCAATGGCAAGCTATTGCCAGGATTGTCATACTCCTCCCACCCTTTTTTCTGATTTGAAGAAGAACCACGTTTTTCATAGCTTTTGCTGTCTACTGGAAATGTTGTTATATTGAAGATTATGTCAGAGCCATGCATAACGAGGTTGTGTTTGGGGTTTGGTGGGGTGTGAATATTTGACAGGTAGGTTTGTTTTACATCGCTTCTACATCATGCCCATGTTTAATGAGCTTTCTCCCTTGACAACCGGAGATCTGTAAGCATGCAGCAATTCTATTACTCTTCTCCCCCATAAAGTGGCTGAAACTCCTATAGCAACCAGGTTATCTAGGAAATCTCTCCATTTCCCAATGCTCAGCGCTGTTGAATATCTCCACCTCATATTCAGATTCAGTTCTCTTTGAGGCCTATTTGAAGATCGAGGGGAGATGCATGCAGTTTATAATTAGAAACAACATTTTACATTATAGAGTGTGTTTGATTTCTGTATTTGTCCATGCAAGCTGGACTGTTGAAAATAAAAATTAATATATCATAGAGCAAATTAAGCCTAGAAGCCTAGGCTATCATACTCTGGACATGGGAAGATATGATTCAGAAAAGCAACAATACATCGTAGCTCAGAAGGAATTGGGGGGGGGGGGGAGCCAAAGTACAATCGGATAGATCCAGTTTAGGAAGCCAAGACTCTGTCTTTGGAAAACTCAAACAGGGTAGTTGATAACATAGTGATGTTGACGTGTCTCATTCGTAAGGTTGCCATAAGTGAAACTGACAAACAACACCAGCAACACCAGCAACTACAACATGGAGGGCCCAAGATCCCTTCCAACTAATAGAATAGAATATTCACGAGGAAGAACTTCCTGACTGTGAGAGCTGTTCAGCAGTGGAACTCTCTGCCCCGGAGTGTGGTGGAGGCTCCTTCTTTGGAAGCTTTTAAACAGAGACTGGATGGCCATCTGTCAGGGGTGATTTGAATGCAATATTCCTGCTTCTTGGCAGGAGGTTGGACTGGATGGCCCATGAGGTCTCTTCCAACTCTTTGATTCTATGATTCTACTATTCTATTATTATATTATTCTCAAACTCATTAGAAAAGATAATCACCTTCAGTAATGGAAGGATGGATGGATTCAATCAACAAAGCTATAATCCTGAGTTTGCAAGACCTGAGCATGGCAGTAGGTGACCAAGAGTCTTGCAATCTCTCATCCATAGGATTGCTATAAGTAGAAGTTAATTTGATGGCTTGTAACAACCATAACAAGCAGATTCAGGATAACTAACCACATGGTTTAGAAAAAAAAAACCTATCTAGTGAAATAACATCAAGTAAGATGGAAATCCCCACTCCACAAAA